CACTGACGTAGGGCGGGCTGCCGTTTTCGCCAAGGAATCGAAGATAAGGTGGGCCGGACACGTCATGCGATTTTGCGATGACCGTTGGACCAGAGCGGTTACCGACTGGATCCCTCGGGACGTCAAACGAACACCTGGACGACCGCCGGCCCGATGGTCAGACTTCTTCACGAAAGCTCTGAACGAAAGGAAGGACACGTGTCCCTCGAGCAAGGAGGATCCACTGGACCACCCTAGCACGCGACAGGGACGAATGGAGACGTTGCTGGCGCCCGCTCGAGCAATTCGATGATCAACGGGACGACAGGTGATACAGGTGATCGAAATCTTCACTATGAACTTATCGCAGACATTCGAAGCTTTTTTCGTAGCGTTGTCAGCTTTCTCTCAAGTGTTCTTCTGGGAATTGAGGATAGTGGGCGCGACAAGTTCGTTGTCTCTATTCAGGAGAAAGAACTATGATGTGAAGGGAACAAGTGTGATGCTTGAGGTGTTACACTGTGGAAGGTTTTGTCAAAGTTACCTCACGCGTTTTACGCTGCGCTTTCGGGTTTCAGCCCGCTACTTGAAGGCGGCGTTTACGATTGGAAGGCACCCCGTTGGATTCAAGGTATAGGTGGTCAGTGTGCTAATATGAAGAAAAACCATGAGAAACGGCCCAGAACCCGAGAAATGGGACCCTTCCTTGCCCGTTGATTTCCGCATTGATGCGACTCTCATCGGTGCTGCCCTCTTCAACGCTAACGCTCTCTCTGCTAACGGCTAGAGACCTGCAGGCGAGTGGTTTGCAGTGGTGGGCGTTGCCGCGTGCCGATAGCGCCGCGGACAGAGCCGCTGGGTGCGTGACTATTCAATCTGGCGATAGCTAGGTCGCCGCGCCAGCCGCCGCAGCCCGCGATGCGACGTCGGCCGTGGTTAGAATTCAAGGGTTCTAGCATTGGGGAATGTAGGATTAGATGAAGTTCCCGGTCGTGAAACACGGTATATGATCACCTGCCCTCTTAAAGTATAGGTCCTTGTCCTTTGTCTTTACATAGTTCAAAATTGCTCTGTTAATACTATGTTAAGCCTTCATCACCTTCCCGGCCTTTGATACGTATATTTGTCCATATACAGATTATCGTCTTATAACAATCTCAGGCAGTTATACAATAAAAGAAGTTCAACTTTGTTTATCAGTTCCCTAACCCGACCAGCAACTTATGGACAAGGACCGCTAAGCCAAGGCCCATGCAAAAGTCGCCGCACCATCTGCCGCGCGCGACGCTGCACCGGCGCGTGACCTCATTAGCCGACGATTGAATTGACCGTCTCCCCCAGGGTAGAGTCGCGAGGGCATATGCCCTCGATGCGATAATGCGTTCGTTAACCATCAGGAGTCGTCTCTCTATAAGTCATAGGCGACTTCCTCTTCTAACATACCGGATCTTTCTTAATGTCCTTCAAAGAGTTGCTACTTTAAGCGCCTCCACCTTCTTCTTCTTCTTCTTATTCTTCAGCGTTTGTCCCGCTTGTTGGCGGGGTCCGCTTTTCTGATGTGCTGTCGCCACTTTTCCCGATTAAATGCTTGGTCGGGGTGGATGTTAACCAACTTCAAGTCTGCGTGCAACGTATCGAGCCAGCGCTGTTTCGGGCGCCCCTTGGGCCGCTTTCCGTGCACGTCTATGTTGAGGCCGATCTTGCGAACACTGTCATCATTCCGCGAAAACGTGGCCAAACCAACGAAGCCGAGCTTCGCGCATTTTATCAGCAATGGGAGCTACACCAAAGCGCTCTCGTATGACATCGTTCCGGACGCGATCTAATCGCGTGACCAGCCGTCCAGCGCAGCATTTTCGTCTCCATTACACCGAGGCGGGCTTCCATTTGCTTAGTCGTGGGCCAGCACTCAGCGCCGTACATTGCCACCGGTCTTATGACGGTTCTATAGATCTTCGATTTCAGGCGTTCTGGAATCTTTTTGTCGCAGAGAACACACCGTCATAAGCACACTGTGGATCCAACGCACTCACACGCGAGTTCACCTCAGTACTCATACTGCCATCAGACGCAATTGCTGATCCAAGGTACTTGAATGTCGTTGCACGTGTCAGCTCTACTCCATTTATTTTGATAGAACCGCACTCGCTCGTGTCGGTTGTCAGGTACTCAGTCTTCCTAACGTTCAACCTGAGTCCGAACATCGCTAGGCGATCGCACCAAGCTTGCGCTTGTTGTTCGAGTACGTTTTTGTCTTCGCAGGCGAGCATCACGTCATCAGCATAGAGAAGCGTCCATGGAGCTGGTTTCTGAAGATCTCTTGAGATGGCATCCATGACGACAACGAAAAGAAGTGGGGAGAGCGCAGAGCCCTGATGTACCCCAACAGAGATGGGGAATTCTGTCGAAACGCCAGCTGACGTTTGCACTCGGCTCTTTGGGCTTTGAGTAAAGCATGCGAACCCACTCGATAAGCTCTTCGGGGACGCCATGTTGTCGTAAGGCGTACCATATTACTTCACGTGGAACGCGATCAAAAGCCTTTTCCAAGTCTAGAAAGGCAAATGCACCGGCTTTTGTTTTTCACGGTGTTTTTCTAGCAGAAACGAGCGGCGTGTATGGCATCAATGGTGCCGCAGCCAGTCACGAAGCCGCATTGGTTCACGGTACTGTGCTAGTCACGAATACGCCATCTATCAATTTCTTGAACCCTTCATGTTGCTGTGGAGAGCAGACAATGTCGTAGCGCGGCAATCTGCAGGACTCCTTTTCTCCAAATCGTCGTCTACTCGGTTGCCATCTCGCTTTTGTCTGCGGACGTACGGTTTGAGAGTTCTCAATACTCTCGATTCCAAGTTACTCCCAGATCGGACTCCAAGTCGTCGGAGACCGTGCTTTACATTCGTCATCATACTTCGAAAGCGCTTGTTCGTCACAGTATACTTCGATACGCTGACCGGAGAGCATAAGGTACTGGCGGTGTGAGAATTCCACTGTCGAGATTTTCTCGAAGTAGTCGTGCCACCGCTTCACAGCCCTCTTGCGGTCCATTACGAGTCGCCCGTTCTCGTCATTGATGCCAAAGAACTTCTCGATATCTTCGGTCTGGCGATGGCGAGCCTTGGCTAGTTTGTAAATATAGCGTTCGCCGTCGCGCGTCTCGAGCTTCTCGCTAACGCCATCGAGATGAACTGCTCTAGCAACAGCCACAGCTTTCTTTGCTGCCTTCTTCGCGCTCTGATAGTTGTTCCAGTTATCGCTTGACTTGTCACCGAGAAACACTTGGTAGAGCCTTTTCTTCTCCCGTACTTTTTCTCTGACAGTGTCGGTCCACAGCCATGTCTGCTTGTCGATTTTCCGCCGTCCAGGCTTCGTAATGCCAAGCTCGGAGCGAGCAACACGGACTATCGCTTCTGTGGCACATTCCATGTTTCGTCGACAGTCGTTACTGGCGGTAGCCGAATGCGACTGTGAACAGAGCGGATTCCTTTTCTTTCAATCGCCACCACTTGATCCTTGCAGGCCCACACCGTTCGGCTTTCTTGGTCCTTGGAGGGGCAATCTTTAATGTGCAAATCAGTGGTCGATGTTGCGTAGCGACTGTCTCGTACGGCACTGTCTTCGCGTCCGTCACTAGCCCTCGATCACGTTGCCTGACAAGAACGAAATCAATCTGAGTTCTGGTATTACCGCTGTAGAACGTGATGAGGTGTGAGTCACGTTTACGATAGTTTGTGTTCACGATGGTGAGATTGTGAGAGCTTGCATATTCAAGAATTCGCTCACCATCGCTTCGTGCCCAATAACAAAACCCAACATACACTATACATCTTTCGCACCCGCCCCCCCGCCCCCGAGCCCCCCCGGACGCCCCCCCCCCCCCCGCGTCAAAGTGTCCATTAAGGTCACCTGCGACAATGATAGCGTCCTCCGATGGTACCTCAGCGGTTTTCTCATCTAACAGGGCCCAGAACTCGTCCTTGGCTCGTTCGGAGCAGCCAGTCTGTGGAGCGTAAGCAGAAAAGATGTGGTATTGACGCTGCTCCATAGCAACAACGATCTTCATCAAGCGGTCATCGTAACGTTCGACATTCGCAATAGAATCGCGGAAACGTTCGGAGACAACCACACCGACGCCGCTGGTTGTCCTGGGACTGCCACAGAGAACGACTTTAAAGCCGCGGCCAATGTCCCTCGACTTACAGCAGGACCACGGTTCAGCACGCCCAGAAATCATATTCTCTTCGCTCAGTGCTCGACAACGCGCACGGGAGACACCTGTCCAAGTCCAACTATTCATATGTGCCACGCGAACCTTTCCATAGTGCGAGATTTTGGATATCTAGTTGCCCATGCCGTCCTTGCATCGAGACTCGATACTTTATCATCATCGCCGGGCTTTGCGAGTGCGCGTCGGCTCCCGCGGACGCCGTAGCATTATCTCGATACTCACATAGCGACATGACATTTGTGATGTGACGTGGGTTCGTAGGCCGGCCTGTCACGGGGGCCTGTCGCCTGCATTCGAATGTCCGCGTTCGGCTCAGCTCACAAAAGTGAGCAGTTTCCAGTGGCACCACTTGGAGGAACGGACACCACCACCGTGCTTCGAACCATTGATAATCGTAATAACTTCGTATAG